TCTGGTTTCATCACTGGAACATAGACCGTGCAGTATATATGAAGGCGAGAAGACAAGTAACACCGCCATTTAATAAAGCATCATAAAACTGGCACTTGGGTACCAGAATCATAAGTGTACTACAATATCTAAACTATCCTCCATGCTTAAGAGCAGAGAAAAGAAGAACTACCACAAGTTGCCAGCAAGGAGGAATCTAGGTTAAAGTTGGAGGCTGTTCAAAATAGCTGTGCCATCATTCACCAGCCTGAGCTTGGCAAAAACTTATTCTACCCAAAACTTCAAATAAGACATAAGGTGCAACTGAAGACACTAGCTCATTTAGAGAACAGGAAGCCACATTAGCAGATACTGTTGGAACCAGAAGACAGTGCTTTCCTTCAGGGGTGTTTTCCAGAGCTACCACATAAAACTACACACCCTCAAAACAATCCTAGCATTCTTGGGTTTATTTAACAAGCTGTTTTTAGAAGTTTTCTATGGCTGTAAGAAAGCAGATAATCCACCTAATACTGTAACAAGTCATCTTTTGCATAGAAAAAAAAGTCATGGGGTCCTAGGCCTGGTCTAATTCTCCCAGCCCTCCCCAGGTCAGGGGCAGGTCTTAGCCATACCTCTCCAATCCGAACAGGAGTGCCCGTTAAGGTGGGGATGCAAGGAAGGGGGCAGCGGTCCCGGCATTCTGGATGAGTCACCACACGACAGTCCCTGCACTTTAAGGACAATTTCCCAAACTTGATCCGCTTCCCACATGGAACGCAAGACTCTGGCTTGATAACCTGGAAACAATGAGCATGCAAGAGCAGAACTGGTTATATAAGGTACTAAAGCAGACATTGCTTAGTTGGATAGATAGATTGGGCGGTCTCCTACTCTGCAGACAGCAAACTACAGAGGACAATCAAGTTGTTTTGCATGAAGAATAAAGGATGCAGGAGATTACTAGACATTGATAAGGGGATTTTGAATAAAATTTAGCTTCTAGCAAATCCTGCAGTTACATTATTCCCTTAGTCCTGGCATTTCTTACGGTTCTGGGGGGGGCATGCACCAGGAAGTCTGCCCTCTGAATATTTAGGGCTGAACCATCAGCTGTTAAAACTTCAGGCCTAAGTATAACATGGCTGACTCAGCCTGGTTGTGAGAGGCTTTTCACAGCAGTATGTCGACATGCAGATGTAGTCGTGTCTACATACATCCTAGAAGATAATTCAAGGTTCATTTGTATCCTAGAGTTGCAATTGCCAAATGCCTTTGGACAACTGTGGCCATGTATTACACTTCTCTCTGTAGTGTACAGATGTAATGAATGATTTGTTCTCACACATGCATGCGTGCACATGGTAACTGAAAGGAAGTATCTGCTCAGGTTCTTACAACCTATACCTACCGTCTTTGATACAAATTCATGCAGCCTCATTCCTCCATTGCTTTGAGGAGTGCTAGAGCCATCATTTTCAGATTTGGATTCCAGCTGTCTGCTGCCTAAGCTTGAGTCGCAGCTCCAGGGTTGTAAACTAGCTGAAAGACAAGGAGGAAAGAGCTCTAGAATAAGCTTCCAGTAGTCTTCCACATCACGACAATATAAATTATGAACACAGACGTGTAGATACTGGCAGGAAATTGCCTTAACTGGTTTGGGGTCAACATGCATCTGGCATTCCTCTATGAGCTGTAACTGGCATCTGTGTTGTCCCAAAGACAACAGAACTACCAGAAGCTATTAAAAAGGTACAACTGGTAGTTGATAGCTAATTATTTAGTGTTGTGCTCCTAGACCCTTACAAGGCAATCACTTTTTTTGACATGCCTAGCAAAGCTAGGCAGCTGTATAGAGCCTAACTCACTTTGCTTAAACCCTCAAGCAAGGCTGGGGAAATTGCTTTTAAAAATAACTGAAGGTGAAGAATTGAAGGTGAAGTATATTTTCAGTTACTGCAACATCTTGGGGGAACTTTGACAGTAAATGCTAACACAAGAACATTATGGTGTTGTTTTGGATAGCGTCTTCAATGATTCTGGCATACCAAAACTCTTCGGGAAAAAACACTTCTCTTTCGAATATTAAAAAAAGCAATACTAAAACAGTCATTCCACTGCAGTCAGAGTACCTGCATACACAACAGTTATAGAAGTTTTAATTATTAGACACATTTAGGAACAAAGAGAAGGGGAAGGAAGGAGTTTGGCTCTACCCTTCCTTTAAATTTCATTCTCTCTGAACTAAAAGCATAAACTGTTACAGAGCCTACTCAGGGACATGCCCCACTGTGCTGCATCAATCCTATATAAAGATCTTTATATTTTGTTATAAAAAGTAACCCGCGTTTGTTTTTAAATAATTAGCTAAAATTTGAGTTTCCCAGCAAAGAACAGAATGCCCGCAAGGAAGTCCCATTTAGTTAATCAACTCAAGACATTCGCTTCACTCCAATTATAGCAGAAATGGGAGATAGCTGGTGCCTCAGAAAAAATGTCCTTGGGATTTTGCCTATCTTATTTTCTTGTGCTGTTGTAGATATTAAACACTAATAAGACTATTAAAAGATGGCAGAGGAAAAATGCTTGGCTAATTTATCCACTGTGAAATCAAACATTGCCAAGCATAATTCCTGCTCATTAACTTTACTAATAGCCAGTACCATTTCTTGAATTTCCCAGCATTTTTCTTAAACATGAAAACTAAAAAAAAGAAAAAAAAAAGTCACCACATGTACTAGTTGCTGTAAGAATATAGGCAGCAACTGATGAAAAGGGTAGGGACAAGCAACAACCTTGTGCATCAAAACTAGGATAAGTTTGATACCTACCCGTCTTTCTTTGACTTCTGAGACGGTACGGTACAGTCTGAATAGTGGAGATGGCTTCAATTGGGCCACCATCATTAGGAACCATAAGGGTTGTTTTTGCAACAATGGATTCATTTCCCTGAAATGATAAATCTAGGTTCAGCAACAAAAGTTTCTGCTACCCAATATGGCAAAACATTTTAGTTTTTTTGGTCCAGACCCATCATCAATTGTCTGTCTTTGAACTAAATCATATTGATTTAATTCTTATAAATAATAAGAGCAACAGACTTTAAAAGACACCATATAAAACATGGGTGAGCAAAATACAGCCCACAGAGATTTTGTCCGGCCCCTAGTGGGTCCCTCAGTTTCACCCAGCCCAGACACGGCACAGCCTGAGCCACGGTACGTGCGGTTGGTCCCACCACCGAGGCGCACAGAGGTGCTGGGGTGGCACAGCAGCCAGGCTTGCTACCAGGCAGCCTCAGCAGTACCTTCCAGCTGCTGCTGCCAGACCCAGCCCTGCTGCCTGGGCACCCCAGGAAGTCTGCCCTGCACCCATCATCAGGGACAGGACCTACACAGGCAGAGCATGCAACCAGGCAGATGGGTTGGGGCTGCAGGGACAGGGAGTGCTTGAGAATAGGATGTGTGGGCAAAACCAGGGTCATGGGGTGGGAACCTGGGGCAGTGACAGCATGGGGCCAGGGCTGGGGCAGAGCTGCAATCTGCTGCCTGCAGGGCCCTGCAATGGGCGCAAGTTCTGTGGGCAGGGGCATGCAGGGAGCGGATTGTGGCCTTTCCCAGGCCCCATCTCCATGTTGTCACTGTCCCAATATCCTGGACCTGGCCCCACATGCAGTTCCCTGCTCACCCATGGCCCCATCCAGTCCACCTGGCTGCATGCCACGCCTGCACAGGTCCCAGCTGTTTTCCATGGAAATTGTGGAATTATGGGGTGGTGACATCATGGGGCCAGGGCCCAGGGCAGATATATGATCCATTTCCTGTACATCCCTGCCCACAGAACCAGCACCCAAGGCAGGGGTGCTCAGGCAGTGGATCATGACTGCCCTGGCCCCATGCTGCCACTGCCCCACAATCCCAGCACTGGCCTGGGCCACACCCACCCTGCTCCTGGATGTTGCTCCCGGCCACCTGACCGAGCACAGAGCAATGCCTCTTAGGGTGTTTTGGGGAGCTATTGCGCTGGGGAGGGAAAGAGATGAGCCAGCCCATGACGACTCAAAGCAATCCCTACGTGGCCCACAGGCCCAAATAATTACCCACCCCCGCTACATAATATAGATACAAGATG